CAAGCCACTGACGGTCTGGTTATGTTCCTGCTGGAAACAAAGGGAACAGTGAGTAAACAAGAAAGGATCCAAGTGGTAGACAGACAACCACAGTATAGTGGTTATCAGAGGGAAAGGAGGGTGGGGAGGTAGAAGAGGGTAAAGGGGCAATAAGAAACAAATAAACAGAAGGAAGGAACTGAGCATGTCCTATGAAGAGAAAGCAGGCCTGTGAATGTCCAGCAGTGAGGGGAGAATGGGGGGAGCTGTAGCTGAGGTGGGCTGGGAGCCGGTCATTGAGAGCCTGATAGCCATGTGGATTTTATTATAAAAGCAATGGATAGAGTGTGGATTTTATTATAAAAGCAATGGATACTATTAGAATGTTGAAGCAGGGTGGTGGCATATTCTTATTCTACCTTTTATTCATATATAAATGAAAATATTTGAAGACAGTTTTATGTAAGCCAACTTAATAAAAATATTAGAATGATGGGTGTGGGTGGAGGGGGGTCAATGGGAAAAACAAACAAAGAGGACATCTGTAATACTTTTCACAATAAAGAAAAAAATAGAATCAAAAGGGAAGTGAGGTTTTTAAAGTAAACTTGTTGCAAATCTTTTTATCAAAAGGTGAGTGGTCTTATCATGTAAACTTCAGCATCTGAAATGACCCGCTTTCTAAGTTCCTGACTAACCCGGATTCTTCAGGGCTCATTTTAAGTCCCATCTCACTGTTAGTGTTTCCACATCATTCCTTTATTTTTATCTTTTATCCTTTATTCTTTCCTTCATATCCTGACCTTTTCAACCACACTGTTAAGAATGGTAACTACTGGACAGAGGCACTGTAATTCCCAATTTCAAATTTATCAGCCTGGCATTCAAAAGTAGTCCATTGATTAGTTTCACAATCTACCAGCTTTGAGCACCTATTGTGTGCCAGATTCTGCACTAGACAGAAAGGATAGAAATGTAAGTCACTTCTCTTCCCTGTCTCTGAGCACTTCATTATCTAATGCAGTAGACCTGTAAGCTGATGATTGATGGGTTGACTGATAGATTCATTCATCCAGTAGACAATTACTGCACGCCTTCTATGTACCAGGCATTTTTCCTCCCTAGAGCATACAACTTGAATAAGATGGACCCACCCTATGCCTTTTCTTTATCACATAATAAAATGAAGTGGATTCATGGTTTGTCTGTCCAAAAAGCTTTTAAGCCAAGTCTGTAAAGGTGGATCCACTTAATGTTTGTTCTGCATTTCAGGAATCATCATGTGATAAGTGGTGAAAATTTAGTCCCTTTAAGCCCCATCTCCTGGGGGTTGAGTTTAAGCGTTGGAACTTTATTTGAAAGGATTGTATTGATTGGGCTTGGCCTCACTGGTAGGGCTTTTTCTTTTTTTTAAATTACTTTATAGGTCTCTCACTTTATCTCTCTCTCTCTCCCCCCCCCCCCCCCATTTTCCACCTTCTATTTCAAGCTGTTCTGCTTAAAAAGATTAAAGTGGTATGAGAGAGGGGGGAAAAGGGGAATAAAAATCAACTGTCGCACTGTGAACATAATTGATTCAATAAATAACGTCTTTCAATTCCCCAGGCAAACCTCAAAGTCTTCACTTATGTCAATTAGTGTTCCTCTCTGTAAGTGGTGGGTTCCTAATTTAGACGGATGGGGGAGAGTTCACAGAGCTTGCTTCCTAAGGAAGGAGTGTGCTTTTCTGGTTTTAAAGACATAATGTGTTGATTTAGGTGCCCACTCTGCAAAAAGAAGCTTGAAGCAGAATTAATGTGGCTGTTTCTCATCTTCTTGAAAATAGAAGGAAGACATTCAGTTATTGTCCAGGGGTTTGTTGAAACAACAACAACAAAGGAAAATGGGGAAGAAAATCTGCTAGACTATATGATACAGGGACTTTGTCTTGTTTGTTCACCATTTATTGTCAGTGCACATAGTAGGTGCACAATACATATTTGCTGGCTGGATCTCTTAAATGAATGAGAGAAGAAAGGAGAACAATTCAGGTCTGAGATTAAATTTCATTCCAGAGGTTATTTCACCACCTGCCCCATCCCTCTTCTTTCCCATCTAATCCTTTAAAAGGAGAGTAACTCTAAAGTATAAGATTGTTGTATATACTGTATCTTCAGACATGAATTTCGTCAATTTCCAGACCGGCAGAGTTGAAAGGGATCTTGGAAGTGATGTTAAGCTGCCATTTATAAATTCTAGTAAATGGACACGTTGTGTTTTAGAACCACGTGAGGTGTGTTATAAATCTGCAGATTCCAGGCTCCAACACTGGAAGTTGTGGCTGAGTCAGTCTGGATAGGGCTTGGGCATCAGTATTTGTCTTTGTGGGTTCTTAGGAATTCCTGTGAGCAGCTGGGTGTGGATAGTACTAACTAGTCAGACTTGCTATTCCCTGAGCTCTATTGGTTTAAGTCAGTGGTTGGCAAACTGCAGCTCGCGAGCCACATGCGGCTCTTTGGCCCCTTGAGTGTGGCTCTTCCACAAAATATCAACTTCTGCGCATGGGCCACGAAGTTTCAGTCGCACTGTACATGCACACCGCACGTGGTATTTTGTGGAAGAGCCATACTCAAGGGGCCAAAGAGCCACATGTGGCTCACGAGCTGCGGTTTGCCAACCACTGGTTTAAGTTACTTCTTGGGAAAGGTGACTAGCCCAGGAGAATAATTGGCAGACAGCGACCCAGGTGTCCTGACTGAGGACAGTGCACCGGACCTGAAGTTTGCTGCTTTGTTTACCCAACACTCTATGCTCCTTAGTGTTCTGCCAAGACCTTTTAATTAATGCTTCTTCCTTCCAAGTGATAATATTTGTGGTGACAGTCAGCCAGAATCTGGAGGATCTTCTGAAATGTTTACAGAATGTTACATTTTGTTGAATGTATTTTGGTACTAAATATGATGTTTTATTGTCTTCTCTGGAGATGCATCCCTCTCCCATGGCTCAGAATAAACCCCCAATAGGAAGCCACTTCTTTTCTCTTGTAGTCTCTCTGAGAATCATCAGGGCACTTGTTACTCGCATTCCCATTAAATCAAAGGCATCTTGTGAAGGGTTGGGAACCTGTATTTTAAATATGTTTTTATTAATTTGTTAGAGAGAGATAGAAACATCGATCGGGTGCCTCCTGCATGCCCCCTGCTGGGGATTGAGCCTGCAACCCAGGCATGTGCCCTGACTGGGAATCAAACTGTGATCTCTTGGTGCATGGGACAATGCTCAATTCACTGAGCCATACCAGCTGGGCAGGAATCTGTATTTTAAATTAGCTTTGATCATTAGTATTCTTTCTAAACTATTTTCCAGTCCCTGAGAACTGTGTTCCATGTCCCTGGATCCAGCTTTGACTTCCTTTAGACCCTAGCCCAGTGGTTCTCAACCTGTGGATCGCGACCCCTTTGGCGGTCGAACAACCCTTTCACAGGGGTCGCCCAAGACCATCCTGCATATCAGATATTTACATTATGATTCATAACAGTAGCAACATTACAGTTATGAAGTAGCAACGAAAATAATTTTATGGTTGGGTCACAACATGAGGAACTGTATTTAAAGGGCCAGAAGGTTTAGAACCACTGCCCTAGCCTATAATTACATCATAATCCTGTCTTCCCATCTGACGATTTATCTTCTGGTCTTCAGAACTTGTTCTTGAAGGAAGAAAGAGGGACTATCTTCGTTCCTGTTTCCTCCAGGGGACTTGACTGGCCGAGGTGGGTGGGTAGGCAGTTGAAATGTACAGTAGTGGAGTGAGCATGGTGAGAAGGTTAGGAGGTGGCCCCTGAAACACAGGAGAATGCCTGTGTTCTTTCCTGCTGTATTACTTAATAGCTGTGTAACTTTGGGCAAATTACTTAAACTTCTTTGAGTTTCTGTTGCCTCACCAGTAAGATGGGTAAGAATGGTACTTGTTCTGAGTTTTGTGTGTATTAAACAAGGTGTCCTAGGTCAGCTGTCAGGACACACTGAGAGATGGAGATCTGGGTGCAGAGGGTTATCGAAGAGGACCTTAGGGACAACTTGTGAGGAAGGCAGGATTAGGCTGCAGGTGACATTGAACTGTGACACAGTTGCAGTGAAGGTCTCAGCTGATCCCATGGGGAGCTGGAGATGGGATGCTCCTTAGAGTTGTTCCAAATTGAGGGAAGGGGGCCAGGCCTTTAGACCCCTGTATCCACCAGTCATTGCATGTGGGCTGCCCCTGGAGAGGGGACATGATCTCGGGGAAGGCAGCCCTTTGGCTGAGAGGGTGGCTGTGTGCCATCAGCAGCCGACAATGCTGGCAGAGGGTAGGGAGGTGCCTGAGTCCCTGAGCAGATGTCCTCAGTGCACCCAGCACCCACAACCCAGGATAATGCACGTAAAACCTTAGCAGTGAATGTAGAACCTTTGTGAATATTCAATTAATATTAACAATTGCCATATTATTCCAGCTCTGCCAATGCCATGTAGTAGCTGGGGGCTTTTAAGAAGTTAACTTCTCACCCTAACCAGTTTGGCTCAGTGGATGGAGCAACGGCCTGCGGACTGGGGGGGTCCCGGGTTCGATTCCGGTCAAGGGGATGTACCTTGGTTGCGGGCACATCCCCAGTAGGGGGTGTGCAAGAGGCAGCTGATCGATGTTTCTCTCTCATCGATGTTTCTAACTCTCTATCCTTCTTCCTTCCTCTCTGTAAAAAATCAATAAAATATATATTTTTTTAAAAAGAAGTTAACTTCTCTGGACTGTCTTCTTATGTCTCCATTTTAAAATGGAGATCCTAAACTCCCTACTTCCCTGAGTAGTTCTGAGCACACATGGAGATAATATATGTGAAATTGATGAGCAGATTAGAAAAATGTACAGCGTGACTGTGAGCCTACTTTTCGGAAATGAATATAGGGCCATGACTTGGATTCCTTGAAAGGGGAGGGTTGTGATCACTGTAAAAGCTCTTGTCTGTGAAATGTGGCGTTTTGATTTTTCTTTCTTCTCTCTACAGGGAATTAGAATAATGGAGATGCTGCTGAAGGAGCAGTGTGGTGCCCCCTCAGCCGAGTAAAGAACCATCAGTGAGTACCAAGAGCCTAACCAGAATTGGTTACTCAGGCCATGTGTTCATGCTTATAAGCCTGGTGTTATGCATCTGCCTCCTTGGGCTATTCATGCTGTACATTTCCTGGTTGTATACACAGGGGATGATCTCACAGGTGTTTCATTATCTGTTCTGTATCTTTACTTACTTGGTTCTTGATTTTCAGAGCACTTTTGTACTACGTGCTGGGTTACAACTGCACTCAAATTGTTTAAACTGCTCAGCGCAATCCAACATGATTATCACTCTCAAGGTGGCATAGGTTTGTAGAGACCGGAGCTCAGCATAAACGGAAGCTTTAATTTTATTGTTCTGAGAACAAGGAAAGGAGGGATTTAGAGTTTCTGAAAGGGATATCTTGACTGGCCAGTGAAATAAATATATTTTATCAGTCATCAATTGGGGATGGCTGCCTGAAATGCTATGGAGAAGGACTCTGAGGCCTTGAAAATAATTCTCAAGCTCTGGGTCAGGGTGTGTTGATTGATTAGCAATGTCTGTCACAGACACAGAATGGAAGAAAGAGCACTTTTGCAGGAGCACATGCCCCTTCTAGTTTAGGGCAAGTAATATAGGGTTAACAGATAGCAGGGAGATTTCAGAATTACTTTTTCCCCTTGAGTTTTTATTGTCTACATCAAGGAGAATGGCTTCATAGTGGAAAGGGAATAAAAAAGTTATTTAAGAGAGACTCAAAGCCTAAAATAAATGTGTATAGTGGATTTGCATCTTATAACATTTATTGGACTTGGATTTTTAACATCTGATAGAAGGTAAGACCTTTAAGCAGTGCAAACATTGTCTTGGGTATTTCAAAATTATCTCTAATTTCCTTATGTTGGCTTAAAACTGTGGTACACATGGTTTTGTATGAGCAACCTGGTATTCCATACGATAAAGCCTGAGGGGAATTAACCAAGGAAGAAGCGAAAGGAGCATTTATGTGCAAGAAGCTCAGCATTCAGAGCATACTGGTCACACCTCTGCATGGGAATTTGAGAATTATAAAGTGTTTCTGCTTGTTTGCAGGCTTGACTTCATGTATACTTAACACATATTAATAGATTTATTGATTCCCGGGAAGGGGAAACAAGATCATTTCCTGTAGCACAGGCATGGTGCACGGCAGTTGCTCAAAAAATGTTGGAATAGAATCGGAGTATTGTGTGCTCCCATATCCACTCTGTTCTTTGGAAAGTTGTAAGAAGATCGTCTCCCTGCGTTCCCAGGCTGACGTTTTTGTGAAGCTCACTAAGCCCCTCCAGTGTTTGTGTGCTCAGGCACAGATTCTGTCTTACCCAGGAGAGTGGGATGAGGCGTCAGCTCCATGCTAAATAAGAGAATGAGGGACGAGTATATCTTGGTTTTCAAACTTTAAATTGGTGGTTTTGAAACTTGAGTGAATATCAGAATCATCTGGAGGATTTTTTGAACCATGGCTCGATGGGTCCCACCTCCAGAGTTTCTGATTCAGTAGGTCTGGGTGGAACCTGAGAAGTTGTTTTTAACGTTTCCAGGCAGTGCTGCTGCTGCTGCTGCGCCAGGGACCATGGTGTGAGAACCATAGCTTAAATGAGTTTGCATCTCTGAATGGAGACAGATTGAAGGGGCTCTGAGAACGCTATTAGCTGGAATTCGACACTGTTGTCATGTATTCCATCGATTTTAGATTCACCAGAGAAATGACTGTGTGTGGCTTTACCAGTATCTCAGCCTCTTGCCTTTTTTCCTGCTTGAATGTTGACGGGCTCCACACTGGAGCCAAGACAACGGAAAAGAAAGGAGACAAGGCTCACACCAACTTGTGTTTTTTATTTAAAGCAGCAGTCACCAACTGGTGGTCTGTGAGGTCCGAAAGGTTGGCGACCACTGATTTCGAGCGTTGCTAGTGCAAATGAGGAAATTAAACAAGCATTCCCTGTTGTCTTAAATTACCTATTTTTGTTGTTGTTTGTTTTTGTTTTTAGAGCTAAGTGTGAACTCAGGACTTTGTAGTGTTTCTGAAAAGTTACTTATTTTCCTCTCTTAAGGGAAGCGGTTGAGGTCTGGATACCACCAAGAGTTCAGTGCAGGACAGTTAAAGATTTAAAGCACTTAATGACATGGAGTTCCTGAAGGATTTACATAATTCAGACTTTAATTATCCATGATTCTCAGAGGAGCAAATGTAAAGTAAGAGATATTATAACCTTCCCACAGAAATCCACAATTACATTCACAGTTACTACAAATTAGAAACTATTGCTAGGCTTTAAGCTTTTTTCAAAATCAGCTTCATTGAGATATTATCTCTGTAAAACTAAGTTGACCAATTTTGAGTGCACAGTTTGGTGAGTTTTGACAGATATATCTATACAGTTATGTAAGTATCACCAAAAGCATGAGATAGGACATTTTGAGGGTCTGCTGTGCTGCAATGTTGTTGGCTGCTTATTGTTTCCTGTTTTTAACCCCATTTTCTTGACTATTTTTACAAAGTTTTTGCAAACTTGAAATGTGGTTGTTTTAATGGAACTCTTCGTTTTTTTTTTTCTTCTTCAAAATTAGCTTATAGAAAGCATGAGAATGGTTTAAATGGGAGAACTACTGATTTTATGAGCAGTAAAATGCCACATTAAGAGAAAGGTGTGAGGAATGAGTTCTGTAGCTATAGAGCAGGGATCGACCCAGAGCCCAAATCCAGCCTGCTGTCTGCTTTTGCAAATAAAGTTTTATTGGCATGCAGCTATGTTCCCGGCTGTGTTCTCACTACAACTGCAGAGAGAATTGCTGTGACAGACATCTTACACACTGCAAAGCCTAAAATATTTTCTATCTGGTCTTTTAAGAAAATGTTTCTGTCCCCTGGGTTAGAGCATGCCCTCTCCTAAATTAGCATCAGGTCACCTTGTGGGGTGGTTTGGCCTTTTTTTAAACGTAGCATTTGATCACATCTTCCCTCTATTCCAAAGTTAATAATGTGACAGTTTATGTTCTCTGCATTAGCTCCGACATCACCACTTGGGTGATGTTATTTTAAGACATAAAAAGCATTAAAGTGAACACAACAATGAAGTTAACATACCGGCTGCAGCAATCATTAAAATTGCTCATGAAGTTCCAAGGCCCATGCCTGGTGGCATAGGTGTATAGGCATCCATGTGGCAGGTAACGTGGCACTGTGATGTGGCCGTGGTAGGTGCTGTGGCCGTGTGCTCCATTTGCCAGCTTTGGGCTTTTGCAATTTTTTTTTAATAAAAACATTCTGTGGGGTTTGTACAAATATATGTAAGGAGACATTATTTTTATATTTCTACATGGTAAGGAGATATTATTTAATATTTCTATATGATACCACATTTCAAATTTGCACAATTTACAAGCCTGTTTCTGTTCTGTTTGTTCATTTATTTTGTTCTCGGATTCTGTATATAAGTAAATCATATGGTATTTGTCTTTCTCTGTCAAAAATGTTATTCATAATTTACATTCACATAGAATATGACTACATTGTGTGTGGTACCTAGCCCTAAAGATACTCCCCAGCGCCCTCTGGCCCGTATGTTCAAGTGGGCGTTGGACAGTTAAAAAGCTTAGCAGGTGATTTTTCTCAAGAGCCAAACTGGAGGTTCATAAGTCTCACTAACCAATATGCTTGTGCTGCTGCTGCTGACACGTCCATTGGATAGATTTTTGATTTCCTGTCATTTTTGAATAAAACAAATAGCCCTGACATGTGTTTGTTCTTGCCTCTGGCAGTTGGGAGACCGGGCACGCTGAGGTTCAATAACACAGCAGAATTCTTTCACATCGGAATGATTAAGACCTCAGTTTCAGCTATATCTTTGCACTAGCCCCTTTAGGTGGTTGGACTTAATAAAAGGAGGTGCTTGCTCTGTTCCAAGATCATTAGGAGGCAGAAATGCAATTTCTTCGAAAATTACCTATAGTAATAGAACTCAAGTGACTCGTGTAAGAGTTGCTTCAGAAAAGAGGGCAAGTAAGTATTGATTGGTGAGACATGTTTATGAGGTGATAAAGCCTGTTTGCTTTCTCTTGCAGGGGAGCTGTGTTGTGTCTACTTTTGCTCGAGAATCACTTCTCGGACACAACATCTCCAAGACTCAATTTTCGAAATGCAGGTTTAAGGATGCAGTATCGGCAGCTTGAAGAAGAGGAGACTTTCTTGCCGGGACCTGAAATGACACACCTCCCTGAGAGCCAGCCTCAGTAGCGGCACTCATGGAGATAAGTCCTCCCAGCTGGATTTTTATGGCATAGACTCTTCACGATTTTACAAATAAAGGGAAAACTCATAGAAGATGATGTTGCCCTTCTTGAGGGTACCCTGCTGATTGCCTGGTGTTGGGTTTGGGTAGCCAGGGACAGGCTTGGACACTGGTGTTTGTGCCTTTATGTGATCTGCATCATTGCCCATAGGATTCATGAGAGGATTCTGGGACAAGTAAAGGAATGGAACCTGATACCTGACTCACAGGTGGCCTGGAACAGATAGGAATGTGCCAGACCTGAGGTGAAGTGAAGGCACATCTATAGTTATGATGAAGGTTCTCAGAAATCAGGAGCATTGGATTTAGACCCATAAGTACTACATAATTGCCATCATTATCGCTTTTATAATGTAACATGTGAGCTGTGGTTTGTTTCGCTGAAAAAACATCGGATGGAGAATGGGGAGGTTATATGTGCATAATCTTGGCTCCTACTAGTCCATTCTGAGATGTGGAGCAGACATAACCTCTCTGTTTTCACTAGGCAAGTGGGGATAATCGGACACAGATCTTACTACCTGTGGGTTGTGATGATTAAACAAGGTATTTAGTGTGGAAAGCACGGGTTTGGGAGTCAGAGAGACAAACCTTGGTTTGACTCCAAGCGCTACCACGCACTAGCTCACTAGAACATAATTTTAAACCCTTATGAAGCCCAATTTTTAAAAATTTGTAAAATGGGATGATAGAATTAACTTTGTGAGGTTGTTGGACCAATTTGGATCACATATATATTAAGTGCCTAGCATTCCTGGTACATAGGAGAAGTCTATTAAATAGAAGCCATTCTTATTATGCAAAACTATTTAGAAAATGTACTTTTCAAATGTAATGTAAAGTACTATTACTGTTTGAAAATTAGATGACAGTAGTTTGCATTTTCCATGATTGGAAGCCAAATTATAAATGGATACTACCAACCAAACGCTTGAAGAGAGGCAAAAATTTGCAATTCATCTTAACATAAAAACTGGGCCATTAGTGGAAAGTTGTGGGGAAATTGTTTTATTTTTTTAATATTTGAAATACTTCCTACTTAGTGCACTGATGAATTTCAAAGCAATTGTGTTCTTTTTATACAAGCCTGCCACTGTGAGCCTCATCTTATTGTATTTGAACTATTTGTGCTGCCTAAGTTTTGTCTCGGGATAATTTCTTCTTGTTTCCTTAGTGTTTTATTCTCTACTTGTGTTGGAAGGAAAATGAGTGGTAGAAACCAGAACACACTTTGACCTCCTTTTCCATTTTGTAAATGGCATTTTGTAGGCCTTCGGAATAATTGCCCACTTCCAAAAGTAAGAGGTGATGTGAATTATCACAGAGGCGAGAGGCAAGAAATTTGTATTTGAAGATTGACAGTGAAATAAAGTTAACCCTTTAGACTCAACATCTTGCATCCTTTGAAGGCAGGAGTTCTCAACCTTGGCTGTCCATTAGGATCAACAGGGGAGCCTTGTGCAGTCCTGACACCCTGATTACACCCCAGACCAATAAATCAGAATCTCTGGGCAGAACCCAAGCATCAGTGTTTTTAGAAGCTCTCTAGGTGATTCCAATGAGCAGCTAAGGATGAGAACACTACGATGATTTGCAGGCATCTGATTTCTTTCTTAACACCTCTGAAGTAGGAAAGATTCTTTGTAGTAAGAAATGGAAATAGTGAAGCACAGAGAGGCTGAGTTTTTGCCTGACTTCCTTGAAGCTGGGGTGGCCAGTGCAAATGCTTGCAACAGGTCCAGGTCCGGCAGGTGATCTGATGAGTGAAGCAGGCTGGCGGCCACTGGGGAGACCCGGCGAGCATGTGCCTGGAGCAAGGTAATCAGCAGCTGCCAGCACAGTGTTGCCACGTGGCTGCTTTGGCTCGTTCTTCCAATTTCCAATCTTCTGGAAAAAGAGAGACTTAAGAAAAAAAAAGAAATATGATTTTTACATGTTGGTGACAAACTCAGAATTGTTTAAAACGCTGCGCTGGCCAAACAAAACATGTTTGCTAGTCGTTTCCAGCCTCCGCTTCAAGAGTGTAAAGGACCAACCTAAACATCCCAGCCAACGTTGAATAGATTTGCATCTCCCTATTCTGGATGTAAGCTGCCTTCTGCCACTCCTCCAAGCCTGCTTTTAGTAGATGAATTTCCCTTCCATTTCCCCAGAACTCTCTGGACTTGTATAGCCACTTTCCCTCACTCCCCTTGTCTCCTATGGGCATCCATTGCTTCAGGCCTCACATCTGTGGCTTAAGAAATTTTATGCTTTTAACAAAATTAATGAGGGCTTGTTAGAGTTCATTTTTATTACATGTCAGAATCCTTTTCCTGTGAGGAAACATGTAGAAGCCCACATTTAATTTAATTTTTTTAATCCGTAGTCTAGTGTAAGAAATGTCAAAACCAGGAATGCAGCCTTATTGGGCACATGAGGAACATGGGTGGGAAAAGGTTAATTCACAGACCTGGTCAGTCTTCCCCTTCAAGGTGATGATTTACTCCAGTGAGTCCTAGACTTCCACTTGTCCCAGAAATCTTTGGACCCTTGCGGGGGTGGGGGGTGCGAACATATGCATGTCCAGGGCCTCCCCCTGTGATTCTGATTCATGCTATTTCAGTAGGGCCGGGGGTGGGGGGTGGGGTGGGGGGGCGGTGTCTGTGTTTTAAAACAAGTTCCCCAGGACAGTTGAGAAACCCTGCTTTAGCAGAGGTGTTTGTGGCCTCTGCATCTTTTATCATTTAAGAAGGTTTTGCAACTGTTGGGCCTGGTAGTCATTACGTTGGATCACTCAGGACACAATATAAAGTTCTTATGCAGAGAGAAGCTGACTTAAGCTATCTCTACATGACTGAGGTGCTTTTACCATAAGAGGCTTTTATGGTTTCAGTTATATATGGATAAAAAAACCCACGGTGCTATATTTGTTTTATATAAGTGGCATATGTGTAGTAAGATCTCATTTATCAGACATGGTGGGGTGCATGGTCTAGACAACTTAAGGTTCTCCTTAAAGTTGCTTGTCTTTGGGGCTTTGTTGCAGCCACTTCTTAAGTTAGTATACACTTCCTTGCTTTGGCAAACCAGAATCTACTGAAGATGATGAAATCTTTTCAGGGTCATTATATGTGTTCTGGATTCTTTCAGGTCCTGTTTAGCTTTGTTAAAGCCCCTAATGGTCCTGCTCTGAGTTCTGCGGATTTTATAGGTTTTCTTTTCTCTCACTGTTATTTGTCATTTCTCTCTGCCAATACTCCGCCTGCCTCTAGGAACTTTCCTCTCATGTGCTGTGGGAGTGGGGAACCATGCAACTGCATACTGCATGCCAGGTAGTGGTAGACAGGCTCCGAAGGAGGCTTCGAGAGGCGTTTCTGGCAGTTCCATGAATGAATGTTGCTGCACTGATTTAGCGACATTATTTTAGTGATTCCACTACCTTCTTCTAACTCACTTCCTGATCCTCAGCTGCCGATGTCAGACCTGTGACCGCAACATGAGTGAGAATTGCTACAACTTGTTTCTCTTGATTTTTAATCTACTCCCTCCCCCAATTGTGCTGGTATTTTTGTATGTACAGTTCTATGATGTGAAACTTAAATAGATTAGTATCCAAATGAACATTTCTCAGGCCAAGTTTTTGTGAAGGATAATTAAGTGTTTTTGGTTCAGTATGGTTGTGATTGGAGCTATAAATCAGTTGTCTACCTATGAAATTCAATCCTGCAGTCATTCTGAAATAAAGGTGTTACAAGTCATATTTATGTGTGAATTCTCATTTCGTGGGGTATTACATCACTCAGCAGAGCTTGTGCTTATCATTTGTCCTAATGACCCTGTTTCTGGTCAGTGTCCCCGGATGAGGGTGTCATACCAACTGTATGTTAGGGTCCCTTTCCCCTAAGGTGATCCTTTAAAGTTTCTCCCAGAAATAAGCGGAGGTCACTTGCATTGGGTGACTCCAGTGGGCCATGTACTAAAGGAGCAAAGGACTAGGGTCTGCAGAGGAAAGAAGCACAGCACAGACACAGCACACGAAGTCAGGTTCCCCAAAGACGGAGGAAGAGACAGCACAGCCGCTGTTGACCTTTGAGCTCAGTTGTGCTTTCTGTACTTTGTTTCTGTGGGATTTGCTTTCATCCTGGCATAGGTCCCCCTTTTCCTTGACTGTATTTGGGTTTCTGTGCCTTGTTGCAGGATGCCTTGTCCACGCCATATGCATACCTTCCTTTTGTTAGAGCCTGGGTGCCTTAGGAGTAAAGTCCTTAGTTTAACCAGCACTATTGAGCACCTACTGTGTGCAAGAGAAAGGCAGGATTTGTCTTTTTAGTCTTGATCCAGTGGGTTTCCAGAAGGTTTGCACCAGCATCATACTGACAGATGGCAATGGTAGGCACCAGTTGATGGTAAGTCCAGGCTCTGTCACTTCTTGGGTAAATCAGACAATTATTGCTTATTTAACAGATGCAGGAAAACATCAGCACAGGATGCACAGTGGAAAAATCGGCACAAAAATGTGTAGCTTGGTGGCCCCAGAGCCTCACCAGCAGATTGCATAGTTGTAGGTGATAACGTCTGAATTAGTGAGGGGCCCATCATACCTTGCAGCAGATAGCCCGTTCTCCTTAGGCCCCACCTTATATATAGAAGGGTGGAGCTGGCCTGCATGAGACTACCTCATCTCGCCACAGAACAGCTCCTCAGTGCACAATGATTGCAGGACACCGGATATCCAGGCATAAACATCTTTTCCTTTCAGACTGTCCTGGCTGTCACAGCCTGGTCTCAGGACATCCCGGGACTCAGGACTGCTGTGTCAGCATGTGTTTCCCTGATGTCTGGGCAGGGCCTGCTCACTGTTTTGAGTTAACACTGCAAACCCCAGAATCTTAACACGGGCCTTGGCGAGATTGAAGTAGATAAAGAGGTGGTAGTCTGAGAATGACAAACCTGGTGCAGTGGGATTCCGAATAGAAATTAAGTTAACTTATTGAGACAATTTATAGAAAGTTAAAATGAAGAATTTAAATGTAAAATGCAGCATTTCTTG